ATAATGAGGAGCTTCATAACTTGTACTCTTCTCCAAGTAAAAAAGCAGAGCTATGCCTGTACCAGGCTATGAAGGCCCATAGGGTTGTGAGATGTTGAGGGTCCCACATTATCTATACAGTCGGCTCAACGATGTAGGTAAGGTTGTCAGCCTTACGCGCAGGCCGCGCTTTACTCCCCAGGAAAATTATTTAATTAATTCCTGGTACTCATTTCTGTTAGAGGCTGAGTCAACCCCAGGGCCATAGTGCTGCTGGAAGGATTAGGACAATTGAAAAAAAAATATCCAGTGACCTCATCGGGACATGAACCCGGGACCTTCCGGCTTGTAGCATATCTCCTCAACCAAATAATTAGAATGATCAAGTCAAAAGGGATGAGATTGGAGGAGCATGTAGCACGAATGGGGAGAAAAGAAATGCATATAGGATACTGGTGGAAAGCCAGAAGGAACCCTCAGAAAAGAACAGGTGGTACGCATGTAGGATAATTGGGACGAATAACCTTAAGTTGGGAGCAATGTTACATGTACATCCATTGCTAGGCAACGAGTTGCTAAACTAGCTATTGCGAAGGCAAGATTCTTGGTAAACAGTCCATTGCTATGTTACGCAACAATAGAGGAGGCCGTGTTTTCTGTAGATCCGGTCGACGCGCCAATAGACTGGCTGGATAGCAATCACGTGATACCTGTTTGGGAAGGCAAGATTCTTGGTAAACAGTCCATTGCTATGTTACGCAATAATAGAGTAGGCCGTGTTTTCTGTAGATCCTGTGACGGGCCAATAGACTGGCTGGATAGCGATCACGTGATAGTATATGTACCGCCGAAGCGAGTACTCGAACCCGGGACCTCTGGATCTGTAGCCGGGAACTCTGACCACTAGACCATAGAGGCGGGGTCGAATACCTCCACCGTGACCTTGCGAGTCGTATGAGGCGACGACAAGGGAAGTCTCAAATCTGAGACAGTAAAATATGGTCGCGAGTTTCAAGGGACTCGGACCCGAGAAAGACCGCGATGGCAAGGGCCAACAGCATATGCGAAAGACATCCGTCCTCTCGTCAGAAAGGGCGCCCCACAAAAATAAGACCGTAATTGTCAAATGGTAATAATATCTGGTCATGAGCCCCAGTACATACTGACTGACTGACTGACCGTCAGTCGCAATATGACTTTGACTTTGATCACGTGATATGTGTTAACTGAAGGTCCGTGTCTATGCCGAAGGTTTAAACGGGAGAGTGAAGCTCGTTTGCAGTCAGTCATAGCTGAGATCCTGAGTCAGGGACACG